ATCGATTAATCGTTCAGCCCTAATGTGTGACAATTAAAGAGGGTTTCATCCTTTCGATTCTATATCAAGGGTATGAGCAATAAATGTCAATGTTATTTTGCAGTATCAGTACGTTGCTATGGACAATACTGATAAGAAGAAAGAAGAACTCCATTCCAAGTCTGTTTACAGGTGTACTCAAATTTATTTCAGTGATGTCGTTTTTATTTCACACTGTTTTACTACTACTATTACGTTTTTTATAGCTTCGAAAGCTTTCTAATTTATCTTTAATTTCTTGCATGAATTGGTCTCTGTGTGTATTGTTTTAGTCTTTTTAGATGTTTTCATGGTCTGTACTTTTTCTGTCTTATTTTCACTCGTCAGTCTTCTGTCAAGCACTTTGAACTGCACTTACCAGTAAGAACGGTGCCATAAAGTGAGTTTGATTAATTGAAATTACATATGTGTTTTATTAAACATCTGTAGATCGACATGCCGCAGCGGGAAATCTGATAAGTTGCCTACATTTTTTGATCAGATCTCTGTAGCCCACTCCTCATCTCTGCTTGAGGCTAGCATTAGCGGCTACTAGCATAACACACTAAAAAATCTGACATAACTGTTGGTGGTCAAGCTGCATTGTGGGTAATGTAGTCATCAGGTTTTAACATAAAAGAAGAATGTGTGGAAAACTGAATATTTTTGCTTACTATCTATTCTATACATGGTTTGATTTTCATCCAGACAGTTGTTGGACTCCGGGAGTGATAAGTATGCGTTAAATAATATATCATGGACGTATCCTTGGAAACACTGGGATGTAGTTTTCTAAAATGAATAAATAGAATGACCTTTGAAAGGGAAACAAGTTGAAGAAAGATCTTAATGTTGTTTTGTTATGTCTTTGTTTCGTTTTTTTAAATCTTTTATTCTGTCCCTGAATGTGCATGTTATTGTGTAATAGCTTTCTGTCAAACAAAGAAACCGAAAACAAGTATTCTTTCACAGCGGTGCGGGTACAAACACCCAGAGGATGTTTACATCCCTATTCTGCGAAGTCATAACCTTTTCCACATTACATTCATCCAATAAGAAATAAACTGCCTTCAGACGGCAGCATCTCCATGCCGTACCCTGTAGGTTTCCTCCTCTTCAGTGGACTTGGTCTTCATATCGCCTGAGGCCTTCGCAGCTCTCACAGCTCCCCTCCTCATCGGCGCTGCTGCGTCTTTCCCTCCTGCGCCACCAGTCTTCCTTCTGAGACCCTCGGCAGACTTTGAACTCCTCTGTTTATGATTCTCCTGATCGCTGCACATAAAACAAATCACAGGTATTGTAAAATGGATTATAAAAAGCCCTCAAGCTAATGTCTGGCTCGATAAAGGTCAAAGCAGACAACCTGCTCACTTTTATAGGAAGGTAAAGTTTGAACAACTTTGAATTTAATCTGGAGATAATATTTTAAAATCACCTTGCCCTTAAGGACAGTTGGACACTTAAGTGAAATAACTGAATACTGAGCACGTGTCAGCAGCGGCTGATGAAGCAAGATGAGGGGGTAGACCATAAAGGCATGGCCGTTAATCATGGCAGTGAGATGACAGTTGTAATTTCTACCAGAGAGGAGGAATTTTACCACATCGCTTAGAGAAGAAAATGTATCAGCACCATCCAGCTTAGAAAGGACATTCTAAATCCTAAGATACCTGGTGATGTGTGATACATGAATTTGATTATCTTTAATCAAAGGTTAGTGTCTAATAGAGCTTAAGATTAAGTGTTGATGGTAAATGTAGTTAACTGAAGCAATTCATTAAGTGCTATATTGAGCGAGAAAGCTGAGTTCTTGTGTTTTTGAGCACTACCTCCAGTCTACTGAGAGTAAAACCTAAGCTCTTCCTTGCATCCAACTACGTCAAACGATTTTGCTGGAAGCATAAAGAACACTTTGCAGCAGGAGAACTCAGCTTTCTCACACAATACATTAGGGATGTAACGATACCAAAAACTCACGGTACAATAATATCGCGATACAAAGTCCACGGTACGATATTTATCGCGATATTGAAAAATAAATCTGATTTGTACAGCATTTTAGTAGTATTTTAAAGTGTCAACAATATAATAATCAGACCCTGCAATAAAATAAATCATGTTTCACTTTAGTTTTTCAAGTAACTCAACTCTAACTCACTAACTCACTCAGCAGGTTTTTAGGAATATGAGCATGTCCACATTTCCAGGTAGAAGCTGGGATGTTTGGGCGTTTACAATATCCCCTGCTGTGGAAAAAACTCTCTTGCTTGGTACTGATGTTGCTGGGACAGAGAGATATGCTTTGTCCATGGGTGACAGCAGTGGGTCAAACTGTGCATTGTCTCTCCACCACTTCAAAAACAATACAGTTTTTGCCAAGAAGGTGAGGCTTATTGACAGGGCGAGATATAAATATACTGTTGGTACTTGTCAATGTCTCTAGGTATGTACATGTAGCCCTGTAAATACGATGTCCTTTTGTGTTATCTGTTGTTGTAACCATGGTTGTAACCTACTAGCTGCCATGTTGGACAGGTCTCTCTTGAAAAAGAGATCGATGATCTCAATGGGACCATCTGGTTAAATAAAGGTTTAAAAAAAAAAAATGTGTTTAAAAAAAAAGAATTATAATTTTTTTTTTTTTTTTTAAATCGCGGTAGATTTTGTCAGTCTCACGACGGTATTGAGACATTTATTTACCGCGATATCGCGATATATCGTTACATCCCTACAATACATGTATTCCCGCACTGAAAAATGTATTGTTCAATGGACTACCATTACCATAAACTGATTGGACATCAACATAAAAGTTTTCCTTTTAACAAAGAGATCTTAGTAATTGTGTGCTTTTTGTGGATGACAGTAAACCACTATTAAAGAATCAGGGAGTACATGTCAACCAGGCCACAAAACAAATGATTTTCATTACAGAGTAGTGAACCTGAAAGCTGAAACCTCTGTTTTGTGCGGAGATAAGCAGCTGCAGAATCACCTGTCTGATCTTCGGCCCTTGGTTTCTTTGGAGGTCGTTCTTGATGTAATGCTGCTTCGATGTTTGGGGATCCTGGTGCGCCTCCTGTTTTCCTTCCCGCTGTCACACTCACTCTCTGAAGTGCGGTCTGTGTCCCTCTTGGCTTTCTGTGCTGTCGCCACAGTACAGCTACTAGATTTGTCACCTGTAGGGACCTGAGTAAACATCACACAAATTCATTATATGTGTCTGGATGAAAACAAAAAATCGTCTACATCAGGGGTGTCATAATGCTTCATCGCAGGCCACATTAGCATTATAGTTGCACTCAACGGGCCAGTTGTAACTTTAAGACTATATAAAAATACATATATACATATTTAAAATAATGTATTATATTACATTATTGCCTCTGCATTGGATTATTATCGGATAGGGTAATAACTACATAATTAACTACGTCTGAAAGCAGAAGTCTAGGGCAAATAATTGCAAGTCTCTTTAGTGCGCATGTCACAAAATGATTTAAAAAGAAAATCCAAATTATGGAAAAAAAGTCAAACTCAAAAAAAAGGAAGTGACATTTTGAAAAAATGTCAAATTCTAAGAAAAAAGTCTAATTTGAGATGCATTGTGGGACATGTAGTTTATGGGCAACGTGCTTCTGTAAATCGGCATGTAACCGTATAATAAACATATTATATTCTTTGCAAGCTCTTGTGGGGCCACAGAAAATGAAGTCACGGGCCGGATTTGGCCCCCGGGCCTTGAGTTTGACACCCCTGGTCTACATGCTAATAAACATTGATTCAATCATTATTCAAATTCAAGAACTCCTCACTAAAGATATAATAAATGTGGTGACAACACAAATACTTAACCGTTCATGTGATTTATATCCTGTTTGGAAAAAGAGCCCTATAAGATGTTCAGAAATACTTCTTTAACTTCTCTCACCTCGCTGTATGCCTCACACAAATGCTTCTTAATCATTGACTTATATTTCAGCAGTGTTAAATGGGCACCTTCTGGATGAGCTGGGACACTTGGTGCTCCAGTTTCCTGATGCGTTGTTCATTAGCTGGGTCTGCTGGATCGGCCACAGACGAGGGAACCTGTGCAACTGGATCTGTGATCACTTCGGAGGCAATCCGTTGACGAAACTGGTTCAGCACCTCATCGATACGGGGTGTGGTGAGATGGACGTCCTCTCTAACCTGCAACGGAAACTTAAATTAGCTTTTTTTCCCTTTAGAGGTTATGCACTGTGGCTTTCTTTTAGGAGACTGGTTTCTATAATGTTCACTACCCTGGATTGAAGACACTAAATCACACATTATTCCAGAAATGAATTGACCATTGGGAAGCTGCTATTAACAACAACTACCTGGGCTACAGAGTGATACTGCACGCTATGACCAGCACTATCACTTCACATAACGATGGTCAAGTCACCCAAACACCTTCAGTAATACACCAACTTTTTTTCTGTTAGCACTTTGGGAAAGTGTGAGGACAGCAACATCTAGCAACAAAAATACAGATGTGGAATAAAAGTCAGTCAAATATGAATTTTGGATCTTTGTTTGATACAAATGCCACATCGATTGATTTCTCTGATGTCTCACAATGTAAAGGGTTGAATTATTTTTAACAGGGAGCTTCTTTAGTATTAAGAAGTAAATGTATATGTACACTAGACACAGAGTTTGTTCTAAATGTGGCAAATTTCATTTTGTACTCTGCACTTGGTGCTTTTGTCCATTTGTATTGTAAATATAAAAAACGTTGGTTGGAAGGATCATAAATACAGAACTCACAGATAAATTGTGATAATTTGCCCACAATAAATAAGAAGACAGTTTATCTGTCAGAGTGGGTGCTCTCTCTCTTTGATCCTTGCCACTA